GGGGGGGTTCGGCTTGGGACTATGCGGAACTCCTTATCAAAACCCACATACTTCTTCTTCTCTCCCCTAAATGGAGACTTTATTCAGTGTGATAGGCCTCATGCCCTTTTACAGTATAAATAAATATACATTTTTAGTGTTTTAAATAAGGCGAGACTTTTTTATACCTTGTTTAGCGAACCCTCCGATTCCGAAATTGTGGATTTCAAAATAAAAATAAAAATAAAATTTTATTATAAGTGTGTTAGCGTACGAGCCGCCATAAAAAATTGAAAAAATGAAATAAAAATTAAAATTTTCACGGAACTCCATCTCCCGCGGGGGGGGGGGTTCGGACGAACCCCCGAACCCCCCTAAATACGGGCCTGTTCTAAATTATCCATGAAAGGATGGTAAACGGCAATAGGTGTAAGGCTATGCTTAATTGCGAGAAGTACTCCACCTCCTTGACGAGCCTCTCGATCCTTTCTGAACAAAACATGCTGAGACGATAATAAGGTATCTGGAATAGGCCTACTAGCATTTAACCAGGTTTCAGTCACACCGATAATACTGTGGTCTTCAATTTCAAACAAAGCAGCTAGACATGACATTTTATTTTTTAGACTCCGTGCATTAAAACATAAACCTGTTAATACTGCATTCGGTGTGCTTATATTGCTTGTGTCAGAATCATTATTAGATAATACTGTCTCTTCGGACAATCGTGATAAATTAAGAAGCTCAAGAAATGCACATCCTGGACATACCCATGAGCCTGTTGTTATATCAAGTGTGCGGTATTTGAGAGGGTGTAATACGCCCGCACTTAATATGACAGTCTTTGCTACATACGTTGCACTTAAAGAGGGGGGGGGGCGAGGATGAAACGATTAATTTTTAATTTAAAATAGAGGGATGGGCGACCACAATGACGGCACTCGATTTTGGAGCGCGGTATTCGAAAACGAGGCTCGTGAACTGGGTCCCAAAAAAAAAAANAAAAAAAAAAAACTGGTGCTACAGGATTTTGAGCTAGTGTTATAACATAGGGAATTTCCTAAAATGTACCGACTTTCAAAGGCTTGCATTCGGTAACCCCATAAAAAATCGTGTCAAACTTTAGATATTCCAATGTAAATTTGGACGTTCTTTTTATTTATATGGGTTTTCACTTATGAAAATGTCTCAATTATGTGTAAAATAACGATTTGCCCCAGTTTTTATTTCGGAAATTTGCACTAGACAGGGAGTCAGCTGATTCACTCAATCGTTAACGAGCTGGTAACGACACTAGCCAACTGATGAAAATGGTCGTCGCGAGCGGAAAATTGAAAAATTAGGACTGGCGAAAATATTCAATAATAATATAATAAGTCGAAGGCATTTTTGAAGAATCAATCTTTCAAAAAGATATGTTTGCTGGTTTGGATAAAGCCTGGTTTCCTGTCGACGTAAGAAGGCAGATTTACTTACGACTACGTCGTTTTATCGTAACAAAATGCGATTTGACAGAAAACCGATTGCGACTGGTGCGTTGTTAAATCGTCGCAAAGCAATGTTGGACAGGAAACCGTCGTATTGAATTTTCATGCGATACGTCGATTTTCCACGATTTGACAGGAAACCGCGATTTAGTGACTTATGCTTGAGTGATCATGCTTGCGTTGCCTTGTGTTACGTCTCTTACGAAAGTTGACTTATGTAAAAGTAACATTATGTTAACTTTAAAAGAACCGGTAACATTTAACATTTAAGTTAAAAAGTAACATTATGTTAACATTAATGTTATGTTATGTTAACAAAAGTAACTTATGTAAAAGTAACATTATGAAAGTAGCATTATGGACCAGAAATCGTAAGAAGCAGCCAATCAGATACGGGAATTATGACGTAGCCTTTATGACGTACCATGTTTTGACGTGGCTGAAACTGGTCAGATTGTTCTACAGTAGAAAAAATATAGGCCCTATGAAAATTCTGTGTTTCTTGCTTCTTTGAGTAGTCTACCAAGACGCCACACATCCACGCAGTATAGCCTATACAATTGTGTTTGTTTTTATTATTATCATTACTATACTGAAATTGAATTCGAAAATAAACAAGGATTGTTTCAATTACAATCGTATAATACCAAGCGAATTGTTTAGAAATAAATCTGTTGTCAACCATTCCTATTTCCAGTTCAGTGATTGTATGCATTTTTTTAAATAGTTAGGTCTATAGGTTTAATCAGGAGAAATAGTATATTTTAAATTGTGCAAGTAATAATTAGGATCTGTCTGCAGATATTGGGATTCCTTCCAGTGGATGCTTAGTTTATTTTGTCATTCTGATCGGATTTTCTCTACTGTTCCGTTTTAATTTTAAATAGTTTTGCATTATGTGGCCGTTTGCTGTTTTATGGGTTTTTCCCATTTGCCTTTCAAAATTTATATAATATTATAGAATCTCTATTGAGATCCAGCGGGCCGCCATTGATGCACGGTAGATATTGCATCTTTAGATCTCCGATCTTGTTCACAAATTCACGGACTAGTGCTGTCTCGTAAGAATTTCGTAGGACGCGTAAGGAATGACAAAATATTCTCTGCATCTACTGGAACCGAGCCACATAGCTTGTATTCCACTATTTGCATTCACACCTTGGCTGTGTATATATATTGCCTTGGTTTGGCTCTGTAATCATTAGTGGTCGTTGGACTAGTTTGGGCACTACCTAAGCTGATCGAACGTTTCGTTTGGGTCTATACCCTAGCTGCACTGATGAGGCCTTGAAGGCCGAAACGGATCCGTCTGCAGATATTGGGATTCCTTCCAGTTGATGCTTAGTTTATTTTGTCATTCTGATCGGATTTTCTCTACTGTACTGTTTTAATTTTAAATAATTTTGCATTATGTGGCCGTTTGCTGTTTTATGGGTTTTTCCCATTTGCCTTTTAAAATTTATATATATAATTTTACACACTTTTTAAAGATAGACAAATATTATTTCACGGCAAATACATTGTACTGTATTACAAAGGATATCATCATTGTCACACCTACTGTGCCTATGTAAAAAAAAGACTAAAATATTTTTTTCTAGATTAAAAAAAAAAGAACATAATTATCGCATTTGAAATTTTACCTCAATTTTTCTTATTTTTAAAGCAATTTCAGCAGTCCCAGTGTTCTTAAAACCCGGGGTTGTAAAATATATCAGTTACACACAAATAGGCCTACATGCCAGTGGATTAGTAGCACTAGCTCAGCAGCACCGTTTGATTATGGTAATGATGGTATAATACTGTAATATAATACTGCAACAAATTAGTTGGTCGTTGCGAAATTTCAATGAGATGAGTAGTAAAAATGAAAATAACAAATTTTATCACAAACCTAGGGGGCCATTTATACAACAGGAGTGAGGACCGTTTTATATCTATTCTGTCAATTAGGGCTAAAGTTTACCACCAATCCAACTTTCCCGCGTACCGATTTTTTTTGTCCTAAATCCTTTCTCTCAAAGTAGATTGGGTGACAAGCACCTGAGGCCGTGGCCAATTAATTCAGTTTCCCAGAATTAAAATTTGGTGGTATGAAACACGAATGTTCAAGGAATGTTCTAAGCATCATTATTTTGTGAAACAAAATGAATTTTACAAACATCAAATAGGCCTTTTTGTATTTTAATAATGTAGACCTAACTTCTTTGCAATAATCCATGTTATTAATGTTACACGTTTTGCTAACATTTTCAGTGCAGCTCATAATATAAAGAGGTAGAGGCCTACATTCGCGCGAAAACCCTGGGTTTAACAAGGACGGATTAGTGGGAAAGGCAGCCAATCGTAAGTGACTACAAATTACGTCATTTTTATGTCGTCGCATCGCAAGAAAAATTCAACTCAACGTAACAGTCGCAAGCGCTCGTTTTTGGACTCTGGATGGAGTTCAACGTTTCAGCGGACTGATTTTGGCTTATGTGGACTACATTTGGCAAGTAATTATGAGGCCAAAATCAATCCGCCGGACCGATTTTTCCTAACAGGCCTAATTATAAACAAACAAGTCATCGGACTGATATACGTTTATTAATTCAATTGAATTATTCCTACATGATTGAACTGACGTTGACTAAACCGTCTCTCTGTAACTGCGTACGTAAACGATCACAAAAACTCACTACACTATGTATTGTCTAGGCTATTGCTCGATCGTCGGGACGATTTTTCGATCAGCTGCTCGCCAAAATTGACAGACTGGTTTTGAATATTAATGAGTTGGTTAGAAAATGCTACCAAGCTACAGTACTGAAAAAAGTGATCAGCCTCGTTTTCACCTGATTTTCTGATCATCATACGGTATAATGTTTTGTTTCTGTAATTCTCGTTACATCTCAAACATTTTGAATTTTTTAAGTATTTTTCCCGAACTCAGGAAAGGTTAAATAAGCAATATATGGCCACTTGTCTCATCCCCGCACTTCCCCTTTAACTGACCTGTGTGTAATGGCGACAAGCCTTTCACAAACACCACAGGGGTTCTTTACCGGCCCAGGGTTCGGATATGTCTCCATTCTAAGGAAGAAGATTGATATTAAATGTTGCTGTATGATCGTAGTAAATACAAGGACCACTGAACTTCCTTTTCCATACAGCACGATCATCCTTACTTCCAATTAAACGTTTGTGTAGCCATGGCCATCTGTGCATACCTTGTTCAATGCATTCCTATCGGCATAGCTCGTAGATTGCCAATCCAGTAGTAGCGGTAAGAACATGGACCTATTAGTATTAAATAGGTCCATGGTAAGAGTAAGTATTCCATCGTGAATTTTATGCTGCTGTTAATGTTTCACTGCTTTTAACTGACTTTCGGCAAACTGGGTTCAAGTAACTGGATTCGGCAAATTGGGTTAGGCGAACTGGGTTTCGGCCAACTGGGATTCATTGTTTTTGAGTCGGCAAACTGGCACTCGGCAAACTGGGATTCGGCAAAGTGGTCTCGGCAATCTGGCATTCGGCATACTGGATTTCGACCATCTGGCCTAGATCTATTTTTTTATCATGCAAATACACACATTATACAGTGGTATGGATGGATAAGTGTCTATTGTAGTATGATCAGAATATTGATGTTATCGCTTGACTGATTAACATTGCATTATCAAAATACATTTTTGGGAATTCCTGCTTATATAAATAGTTATACACTGTCATTTGAAAATTTCGGTATTTACATAATGGCTGCCATTAGGTTCTTCCTACAATCTACATTTCTCTTATGTATGTATCAATGTTTTGTATTTTAAGTAACCTAAACACTAGTTTACAAGTTTAGAATTCAAAATACTTTTGTGTTACTTAAGCTTGGAGATTTGCTGGCGGTAGGACAGGCTTAGGTTTACACAACACAGGATGTGGGCTCGGAAAAAAAATTGTGTGTGTGATTTAGATATCAGGAATAGATATCAAAATTGACCAATTATAAAAAATACTAGTAAACAAATAGTTAACCTAAAATTTGATGTTTTAGCACAATTTTATACAGTCCGCCCTCCAATTCGAGACCACTTTGTCTACCTAAAATTTGGGGCAGTCTCAGGGTTCGGTCTCGCATTAGAAACCTCTAAATGGCAACGGCGGCGGAAGCGGGGGGTGGGGCAGGGTGGCCATTCCAACACCAGTGACAAACATTTTACGAACGCTGCATTGTCATTATTATTATTATTATTATTATTATTATTATTATTATTATTATTATTATTATTATTATTATTATTATTATTATTATTATTTTTGTTATTGTTATTGTTATTATTGTTATTATTATTATTGTTAGTAGTAGTAGTAGTAGTAGGCCTATAATTATTATTATTATTATTATTATTATTATTATTATTATTATTATTAATATTATTATTATTACTATTATTTGGTGCTTGCACCTTGTTTATTTGAGCCTTATAAATTGACTTATTAGGCCTATTATTATATTATAAAATAGATTTTTTTTTCATTTTTTTTTTACATTACAAGTTCCCTTTTTGAGTTGAGCAACCAAATGCTGATTACGTCTGTATACGTGCAGGGGCGGATACAGGATTTAGCATAAGGGTGGGCGCCAAAGTAAAGATAGACGACCAGCCAAAATACGAAGCACCGAGGGCATGGGCGGATGCAGAAAAAAAGGGGTTGGGTGTAATTTGCGAGCGAAGCGAGCAGCCTTAGGCAGGGGGCCGGCGGGTTCCAGGGGCAGAGCCCCTGGTGGGGGTCCAAGGGGGCGAAGCCCCCTTGAAGCCCAGCACATTTGAGGAATATGAGGTTGTATTGAGTCGATTTTGACTATCTAGCATGGTAGTTTTCAGTAACAAATAAATAAAAAAAAAATAATAGGTGTATGTCTTTCAAAAGAAATTTTAATATACAGGGTACCTGAAAAATGCAACTATGACATGTGTCATTAAATTAGTAATAATTCATCTACTCACAACATAATCTTTGACAACATACAAAGGCTCATAAATGTACACCATTTCAAAAGAGAAATTTCACTTCTAGAAAACA